GTGCCAGACTTTAGCTTGAGTCATGATCTCACGGTTCGTGGGTTCGAGCCCCACATCGGGCTCTGTGCTGACAGCTCAGAGCCTGGAGCCTGCTTTGGTTTCTGTGTCTCCCTCTCTCTCTCTGCCTGTCTCCTGGTCATTCTCTGCATCTCTCTCTGTGTCTCTCAAAAATAAATAGTTAAAAAATAAATAAAAATATCCACAAATATTTCAGCGTTCAACTATATGCTTTTGAAGAACCTATGAATCAGATTAAAAATCACAAGAGAAATCAGAAAATGTTTTGAATATCAAAATATACCATACACAGATGTAGGGATGTAGTTTAAAGCAATAATTTTAGAGAGGAATCTGTACTTTTCAAATACTTACATTAGAAAAGAAGAAAGGGCTAAAATTTGTTGTCTAAGTTTCTGACTTAGGAAGCCATAAAGAGATGAGCACATCAAGCTGAAGAGAATAAATCCTAAAAAAGGAAGAAGAAATCCATAATAGAAAACAACCAATACAGAAAATTAATCAAGCCAAAAGTTGGTTCTTTGAAAAAGTTTAAAAATTCCTAAACCACTAGCAAGACTGACCAAGAAAGAGAGATCATCCCAGAACGCACAAATTAATGACATAAGGAAATAAAAGGGGACTCACCATAGATCCTACAAACATTAACAGCATAGGTATGGAATATTATAATAAATTACTCCAGGGCAAAAAGATTCACAATTTAATAAAATGGGAAAATTCTTTGAAAAGCTACCCTACCCAAACTGACACATAATTGGATAGAAAGTTGCATCTGTCTATTAAATGTATTAGTACTTTAAATCTTAGAAAGATTAGAAGATTGATAACCCTGGCAATTGTTTGTGTGTGTGAATTCCACTGAACATTTCAAGAAAATAAGATGGAAAAGCTGGTCAAATATTACCAATTTTAATAATTGTGAGCAGATAGGGGTGCCTGGGTGGCTTAGTCGGTTAAGCGTCCGACTTTTGCTTAGGTCATGATCTCGCGGTTCATGGGTTCGAGCCCCGCGTCGGGCTCTGTGCTGACTGCCAGCTCAGAGCCTGGAGCCTGTTTCAGTCTGTGACTCCCTCTCTCTCTGACCCTTCCCTGCTCACGCTGTCTCTCTCTCTCTCTTCTAGAAATAAATAAAACATTAAAAAAAAATTTTTTTTTTAATTAAAAAAAAAAATTGTGAGCAGATAAAAATGTCCTCTTCATGAAAAGAAGCTCTAAGGTTGAGGCTAAAATGAAAGGTCACCTCTGTACCAGGTAAAGGAGATCTCACTAAAATTAAAGACAAGACAGGTTGGAAATAAAGAATGGAGAACAGCTATTCTGGGAAACATCTTAGGAGAAAAAGAAAGCTTCAGGAATAAAAATTTCTGATGATATGGAATCCAGTGGAAGGCATTCAGTTTGAGAAAAAGAAAGACTTGTGTGATAGTATAGTCACCAAGAAGATGGAACAATCATAAATCCTCATGCATTCCAACATCTCTTTGAAATAAATAAAGAGAAGCCATTAAAATGTTCAGATATATTGACAAACCCACATCCCTTGCCAGAAATATTAATACATTCTAAAACTGACACACCAAATTAAGCTCCGAGGGATTTGACTAACTCATACGGCTCTGACAATATATGTATTTAGGGAACATGTTTCGTTTCCAGCATAAAGGAAATATGTATCATTTTCAGAAATCCATAAGATACAATAGAAGTAGATCATATTTATCACACCCTAGAAGAAAAACAAATTGTCAAAGTAGAAATAAAAGAGACCACTAACCCTGATCGAATGTAATGAAATTAGAAATAACAGTGACAGACCAAAAATAATCTCCTTGTGGAATTTATAAATTAGACTCAGAATTACTCTTGTGTTAAAAGGAAACGGAAATTGAAATTACAGACTTTTTAGAGAAGAAAGACAATGAGTAAAGATAAATCAAAAGCTATAGGATTTGGCTAAAGCAGTAATTATAGGAATATTTATGTCCTTCAATGCATTTATTTAAAAATACAAAAAAATTGGTTAAAAAAATGACAAGAAAGAAACAATGTAAGTTTGCATAAAGGAGGAGGAAGCAATTTTTAAAATTTATATCAGAAGCTAATTATATAGGAAACTGACCGAAACCATAGACCTTCATAATAAACAAAAGCTCATTCACTGAGATCAACAAACATGGAAAACTTCAAAAGTCTTATCTAGAGAGAGGAAAAAAATAACATTAAGAACAAGAAAAAAATGCTTCGAATATGGAGACTTTTAAAATTAAAAGAATACTAGGGCGCCTGGGTGGCTTAGTCGGTTAAGCGACCGACTTTCGCTTAGGTCATTATCTCGCGGTTCATGGGTTCGAGGCCTGCGTCGGGCTCTGTGCTGACTGCCAGCTCAGAGCCTGGAGCCTGTTTCGGTCTGTGACTCCCTCTCTCTCTGACCCTCCCCTGCGCACCCTGTCTCTCTCTCTCTCTCCTAGAAATAAATAAAACATTTTTTAAAAAAATTAAAAGAATACTATGTAGAATATTTTACACTTGAATGTTTAAATGAAATGGATAATTTTCCAGGAAAATTATCATAATTGATTCAAGACCTAGACCCAGTAAACACGGCAGAAATGTGACATGTCTACTCCTAAAATAGAACCTGGGTCAGAACACAATTGAATGGCCATTACTCCTAACCACACCACTTAATAGCTGTATAACTTTAGGCAAGCTTTTCAACCTCTTTGGGCCTCAGTTTTTCCTTGGTAAAATGAGGCAATAATAGTAAGTAGTACTCATGATGATTGTGAGAGTTAAGTGAACTGTACATATAAAGCCTTTAGAACAGTACTTGGCACAGAGTAAATAATTTCTTATCATCACCAACTTCTTGTATCACCACCATCATAACCATCATCATCACCATATCATCGCCACTACCATCACCATTATCATCACCATCACCATCACCATCATCAGATAGTTTTATAGTTGAGATTTGCCAAACCTTCTATAAGAGATCATTTATTTGTTACTTAAAGTTTCAGACCTAAGAAAAAGATGTTATGTTTCTGAACTCAGCCTTATGAAGCTGAAGTTACCTTGACAGCAGAAAGAATTGAGTCAGCGTGGAATCTAAGAAAACCCCTCAGAGCTCTCCTATAAAAAAAGGAAGAGGAAGATGGCAACCACAAATTCAACAGATGAGTTACTGTGTCATTCTTCAGTCACAAGGCTGCCGAGAGGCCTCCATTCCTCTGCGGTGTTGACTGTTTCACATTCCCCTTCTCCCACGCTGCCTGGCTAAGCAGGGGGCTCTGTGATCACATGTTGGAGACATGTGAGACTGGTAGCTTCCGACCAATGACTGAGTGATGTCTGAAAGCAGGACATTCTAGGTAGGGGAGATTAGGACGCGTGGCGCTTACCTCTGCTACCCTGTAAGCATCTCAAAACAGGTGTGACATCTTACTTATCTTTGTGTCATTACAGCCTAGCACGGGACTAGGTGTATTTGGTGTATATAGACCCTTCCGGCAGAGACTTAATGTTACTCATAAAATGTGCACAGATGTCACACCATCGGGCCAGGTATTTGAAGCACCCTGAACCATTCTAGGAGATAACTCAGTGCTCGGTGCATCACTGTGTCAGGCTTAGGTTTTGGTGTGAAGTCCAACTTTTGTTGATCTTCCTTGATGTGTAACCACCTCGTAATAGAGTAGGTATCAGAGGATGTGAGCTGAGTGGAACCTTCCCACCGTGAATGCATCAGGGGATTTACGTAGTTCGCTGGTTATTTGCCGTGTTTCCTTCCCCGCGGACGCGCAGTTCTTTACTCGCTGGTAGTTCAGCGTGTTGCTGATTTGCATCTGAGTCTTCCGCGCAGCTGATGGGCATTCAGCACGCCGCCACTCTGTTCTCTGTGCCAGTCCTGACTCCTCAGTGCCCTCTCCACTGCAGCCTGAGACCCCGCCTGACCCCTCCTTGACTGTCTTGTTTGAATCGTATCTTTAATTCTTCACTGTGACTCAGTGATACCCCTGAACACTTCTTTCCTTGGATAAACGAAGTCTGAAGAGGCTTTGAACTTCTTAGTGATTTAAAGGGTGTCTCGGAGAGGCGTACAATTCTTACAAATGCTTTTATCTACCTGTCACTTGTCAGTGGCAGAATTGTAACTTAATTTTTCACGTGCTCACAGGAAGCTTGCCTAGTCATCTGCTTGTGCAGGAATGTGAAGGCCATGGCCCCTGAAGTCTTCCAGGAACCTCAGTAAACATTTAGCTGCATCCGTGTGGAAGGGAGTGGAGTTTGGTTGGATTGTACTGGGGAGGATAAGCCTGTTTCCTAAGTGAGCAGGAAGCGGGATGGGTCATGAGATCCTTCAGGACATTGGATGGGACTACACCAGGGGCAGCGGCTGCCGGGACGTCAGTGGCAGGGAGGGGGCCACACGCAGGCATGAAAGTACTGATTGCACGGAGATTGTAAAAAGATTAATTTCCTTTCCTAAGAAACAATGTGTATGGGGCACTTTTGATAAATCATCAAGTTGATCAGACATAATGGGGGACATGTTTTTCTTTCTTGTCTTTTTTTAATTTTTTTATGTTTGTTTATTTCTGAGAGAGAGAGAGACAGAGTGTGAGCAGGGGAGGGGCAGAGAGAAAGGGCAACACAGAATCTGAAGCAGGCTCCAGGCTCCAAGCTGTAGGCTCAAACCCCAATGCAGGGCTCGAACTCGTGAACCGCCAGAGGTCATGACCGGAGCCGGAGTCGGTCGCTTACTGACCGAGACACCCAGGCGTCCCACGGACACATTTTTCTAGGGACATATTTTTGGTTTGTTTTAGCGCCCTTTGCACTTCTCACAAAATGGACGAGAAATGAAGGTGCAACGAAATTAAGTCCTCATTACGCCAGAAATATTACTGACGGCTTTCCAGAGGGCTGGGAACTACCACCACACTAACTTGTTCCTTTTTATTTCCTGATAGAACGTCCATTCTCGGGATCTCCTTTGGAGCCGCGTTTCTCTTGCTTGCCTTAATCCTTTTCGTCTGCTTTGCTGGACAGCTATTGGTAGGTACCTCAAATACGGACCTTGTTTTGAAAACTGTGTTCATTGACCGCAAACTGATTTCTGTCTTGAAACACGGGCTTGTTGATTTAACATTTCAAGTGATACAGATCCCAGTAAAGAAATGAGCCCCCTTCCTGCCAAGGGCCCAGAATAGAAACTGAGGCCGCTCATGCACAATCAAAGGCACCAAGTTCAAGATTATTTGAGACGTTGGATGTCACACCGTAAAATTAAATTCATGTTTATTTATTTCTGTCACCGTTTTGCTTGCTGTCCTCTGAGCTTTCAGAGTATTTTATAGCAGCAACGACTAGTATAATAGGAGGCTTTTAGTGTACAGGGGAATTGAAATGTAAACCAGATACATCTTTTATAAATCCACTCTCAGGATATAAAAGCTTGGAACATAGGAAAACAGCAAATGCAGAAATACACTTTGTTACTGTATATTGCAAGCTCTGATGGTTCAAGTGCTAGTTCAGGATAGAAGAATCAAATCTGTGTGTATTCTTGAGTCGAAAGCAGGTGGCTCCGTGAGAGCCTCAGAAGAAAGCCAGCAAGGAGACGCAAGTCCAAAAAGGTATTCAGTGTTTTACCTTATTCGTTGGAGATGTGTGGAAACAAGGAAGGTCTCCCTGAGCCACATTTCAAACGTCAGGTACACTCTAGTCTGATGTGTTGAAATCTCTTAGCTAAAAGTGTTAAGATCTTCAAGTATGTCTCTGTCCCTCAGCACCGGACACTCTACCCTCTCTGCCGGCTACCTTTGCAAGCATACGTGGGGCTCGTTTGCTGTATCATAGTCTAGGTGTTTCGAATTGGATTGGAAACTTCCAGAAGCGGCACCGTGGTTTCTGATTCCCTGGAATGCACACATCATATCGAGATTTCTTTAAAATCCCCTGACGCTGTAGGTAGTAAATACTGCCCCTGGGTGAATCTTGTCACATTTCTAAAGTGCTTAATATACCAAGAAGCCTGATGGTCGATGTTCAGATTTTCCTTAGGCGGAAAAGCACATGGGCCCCACCCTCCAATTTCTGGGCCCCATAAGGTTTCTGCAGCCCACTCTCAGGTTTTTAGAAAAGGAACTATCATCTGTGGTTCCACTGGAAACCCGAACCTCTTTCTAATGAAAGCGACTTCTATCATTGTGCCTAAGTAGCCCCATTACTCATTTTCTGTTCCAAGGAATCCAGTCTTCAGGTTAATGGGGGGAGGTGCATGGAACACAGTGTATGTTTAAGGTTTGAAGCTGACTTTTTCTCTCCACCGAATGGCTACAGAAAAGCAACAGAGAAGTGGAGGCTGAAAGAAGTATCTCCAGAGCGACTTTGCGGCCTTTGGGAGAATGCTTTTGGTCTTTTGTTATCTCAGCCTCCGTATAACCCAGCCAACCTTTCGTGGCTCCTGGCCCCTCCTGGACCCAGCCTGTGGTCCCGCGCGGGGCCATCAGGATTCCACACTCACATTCCCGGGGGCCCGCCGCCTCCTCGAAAGAAGCCTGGATTTTGCCAGAGTGGTCAGGAAGCTGAGGCTTGAGGACATCTGTTCCTTCTGAACCTGAGTTAGTAAAATCAGTGAAGGAGGCCTCACCCCCGCCCCCACCAGTGGTCAGCTGTAATCCTTGATCCAGAGATAATCCAGATGAAATTCAAGAAGGAAGTCTTCGCATTCCTGTAAGAGGTTCTTTGTACTGTTTATTCCAGAAGGCCTTTTTTCTAACCATCAGACAAATTAAGGCACAGCCAATCTAAGAAAGCTTTCAGTGTGCTTTCTATTCTGCCCTCCCAATTCAGCCAAGAGCTGCGTGTGTCACAAATATTTCCCAGTGGTCACGGAGAAGTGTCCTGATATCCTCACTGCTCATTCCCCGGCCTCTAGAAAGCCTACAATTCTGTGAGGTGTTAGTATGATGTGCATTTATTTTTGGATTAAGTACTGAGTTTGTGAGAGAAATGTTAATATCCTTAATATCTCTCTATTAACATATGTTAACCTTCTGAAAGCTTAAATGCCAGAGGCAATATTGATGCTAATACTACTGGGAAAAATTTAAAAAAATATATTACTGGTATTGAACTCTCTGTATGAGGAATTAGAGTAAAATACGTTTATGAAGGAGGCTGAGAAAAGGGAAGCCTGTCTGATCTTTTTCCTCTAAGCCTCTGCCTTTGTTACCCTGTGTGCACAGGAAATATAACACAAGTAGCTGTACTGACCGGTCACTGTACAGCTGGGTTTGATAAAAAGGTAGAGGCACAGGGGCCTGGGGTCCCTCGGGGCCAAAAAATGGCCAAAAAATCAGAGTCGTAATGAAATGCAGTTTTTTTCCTTTTGATAGAAAAATCAGGCAGATGTGTGTTCAATGTTGTCATCTGAGAAAAGTCAGGGAATTTGTATGTTCTCACCGTTAATGCTAACGAGAAGCCCAGAGCACACCTGTCTGTCCCTCTCCCCACCCCACCTGCCCCAGCCGCTCCCCACCCCCCCACCCCCATGTAGCCCTGCCGCTGGGTCCTGCCTTCTAGAAAGTTTCTCAGAAACCCCACCAGCCCCTGCAGCAGCCTCTTCTTTGAGTGCCATGGGACTTAGAATCTGTGTCACGTACTTTAGCACTTGGTTATATAACAACTTATTTGGCTCCTCCTCCCTCTCTGTCTCTGTCTCTCTCTCTCTCTCGATGAATGTGACTGTTGTCTCCCTTACATAGAGTAGTTTTTTGAGATGAGAATTGTTTCCTACATTTGCTCTCTGTCCCCCAGGGAATACAGCAGAATGCTGCACCCAGAAATGGTTTGATAAGCTTGTGCTAAGTAAGCACTAGTGGACTAATGTCATCTCTGTGAGGTTCCTTTCCACTGTGTCTGTTCATCTGGCTCCGTGGCCCCTCCCGGCTGCCCCAACACCACTGGGAGAGTTAGGCATCCCCAAGTGTCCCGATAATCTTCCCTTCCCCGGATGCCCCCAGCGTGGGGACAGGTGCGGCACGTGCCTGGCTGTGGGCAGCATCGGTGGTGGGTGACCTCACCTTGCCCCGCTGAAAGGCCTTCCCACACGCGCCATGATTCCTTGACTCTGATGTGCTCTGAGCTCTGTCGGTTGGAAATAACCTAACCTTCCTGAACCCAGGCTGCAGAGCCCTCACCCCCGACCCCCCGACCCCCCGCCACCACCAGCTTCCCTTGCGCCTGCCGGCCAGGCTGCCCATTTTGTAATATTATTTGTGATCTTTTGGCTGGAGAGATCACCAGTGAGTTCACCCCGGCCCAGTTTTGCTCACTGGAGTACCTCAGGCACTTGACGCACAAGATAAATATTTAATATCTGCAGGCTGGAAGGGGTATTGGGTGGCACCCAAATGCTCAGAAAATGTCTTGCCCTCATCCTCACCCTGACTCAACTCTTCCGAGTGCACGACTCTGAATTCAGCCACGGCCACCAGTCCCTGCTGCCAACAAGGTCCCTCCTGGGTCCCCCCCCCGTCAAGTCTCTGCATGAGACCTTCGTAGCGTTGCAGAACTATAAAACCTGAGAGCAGACCTGGAACCCAGAGATAACTTTGTCTGGCCTCACACTTTGTGGGTGAGAGACGCAGAGCTCTGGAGGTGGCATGATTTAGGAAGCTTCCACTCCCAGTCATTTAGGGGAAGAGTTTTCCTCCACGGAAAATAAGGCAGAAGGACGTGTCAGCAGATCTCTTGAGGACAGAAATGAAGACTTTAGAACAAGACCATGAGTGTGATAACTGTAAGACCAGCAGCGGGTTCCTGTACTTGGGGAAGAGCCCTCAGAATCAGCACAGATGGCCTCTGACGGGCAACAACTGCGTGCCCAGTCTCATCACAGTTGACAAATAATCAATATGACATCATATTAAAAATGATGACTTGGTCTGTGAGGCGTCGTATTCTGGTTCATCTATCCTCACAAGAGCCCTTGGAGGGAAAGGCCTTTCTCCAGTTCGTACAACGGATGCTTCCAGATGTCACACAAATTGCTCTGTCATGTAGAGCAAGTAGGAATCAGAATCAGAATTGGAATCAATGTGTAGAACTCTTATCATTAATTTGAAGGTGTGCGGAGAGAGTCAATGGCAAATGATCTCCCAGCACTAGGTGGGGATATCCACGGTCATGGTCATGGGCAGGCGTGGCATTGAGGTTGTCTTCCAGTGACTGCTAAGCATCCTCGGTCAAAATCACTTCAGTAAGTCACAGTGACCTCGCAGTGACCCTCATTTGTATTTTCCTCTGGCCTAGTTTCCCGATATACATTATTCAGCTATGGGCCCAGTTGATTTAAAACTAGAGTCTGGGAAAAGTGCCACTCCATCTTTAAAGACATTTGGTAAAATGGGGGAAAAAATGTTAATTTATGAGTGGATTTAGACTCTAATATATTGAAGTAAGAAAGTACCTTTAATAATGGTACTTTGCAAAATACAGGAGAACCCTTCAGTTATGAAAACATATTATTTAACTTGATGACCAAAACAATCCAGTTTATCTAGAAACTAAAGTGTAGAATAAGAGGTGCAATTACAATGATTGCTCATTATAATCAGCAAGAAAAGGAATAATACTTGTCATTGTCATAATATGAATAATAGTAAGGACACATTTACTGCCAAATTTAACACTAAACTACCTGAGTGGACTTACATCTTTGTAATCCCAAAGAGTGACTCTAACCAAAAATGCCACCTAAAGAAAAAAAAAAACACCCTCAAAAAGCGTCTTTTAGAACAAATATGCCAGAAATAGTAAAGGAAAATGCTAGCGTGTATCAGAAGACATTTTTCTCTCAAAGTGGTCGCCTTGTGCTTTGTGTAGCAGAGATAATACAGTGGCAGTCCACAAACCTTGTTCCCAGCAAAGATGAAAGCACAAACATAAAAGTCCATCCTGTGGAAGGAAAGTAGGTCACACACTGGCTGATAGAAAAGCTTTCTACCTCACAAGAGTATTTTTCCCTTGAAGTCTATTTTCTCCAGTGT